CCTCATCCAACGAACGGCGCGTAGCAGAGGTATTCTACTCCAACAGCTGCTAGCCGCAGATCGTGGAGCCTCTCAATAGTTCCCCGGAAGCTAACTTCCGGGGAACTATTGAGAGGCTCCACGATCCGCCATTGCTGTAAAAAAATGGTCCATTGGAGTGAACAGAGATGTCGTAACTCTTCTATTATACGGCCTCATTTATAAACAGTGCGTATGCTCAAAAGATGGCGTACGCCAGTTTCTACGCAATGTTTGCGATTTATAAAAAACTAACTTGACGGGAAAATGTGCGGTCCTCCACGCAAACTCTGACCCATGCATACGCACTAAGCACACAAACGGGAGAGACGAGAAACTGCGACACCGTTGGCAGAAGGAAGAATGGAGAAACATGTGGAAATAATACCATAAATAAAATGTTACCTCTCATTTAACAAATATGAATAATTCATTTTCACAAATTGATTAAAGCCAATCTTAAAATGATTTAACAAACGCCTGTTTGAGACTCCTCAGTGCACACAAAAACATAACTTGAAGCAATAAATAAATACGGAAATGTTATAGATTACCCCTCGATTATGTTCTCTTGTTAAGAAATGTTTTCTCATAAATGATGCGGTAAGCAGGAGGACAGAATTACTTTAAACTGACGCCGTTTTGCATTTCTATAGGTTGTATAGATACGAGCATGGTTTTATATACTATCATGTTTAATCATGTTTTATGCCGTTCGCCAATAGCCTACTTGATAAGTCGCTCGTAAAACACAGGAGGTATGGAAACTAAGAACACCATATGTGGTAAATTGTACAGCTAATATAACACAACACATTAGTTGTATTTCCTTTAACTGGTGGATTATGGATATATAGTTGCTGATCGACAGCTGGAACACAAACCACCAAATACAAACAAATAATTCAGATCCAGTCGTCATGACTCCACTCCGGAGGGATTCCCCGATCATTTCTTACAGTTTCTCATCAAGGGGGTGTCTCCTGTCCCCGCTACAAACACACTGACACGCTGCCTGAGGAAGGTTATGTGTATTTTCTTTGTCATTAACCTTTTTCGGACCACTTATTTATTTATTTTGGTGGCGATCCGACCTCCATGCTGCTACTCTGGTTCAAACTGCATCCACCAAACATTATGATTTATCTCGACCTCCCCAAAATAACCAAAATCTGACACGGTGTGAGATGTCTTTTTTTAGCTGTTCTGTCGTCATTTCCTGCGATCTTCTTCATGCAGTCAGTCAAAATGAATGAATGAATGGGCGTTTCTTGGACTATTTATAGGCAAATATGGGCGTTACGTGAAGCCTGCAAAAGCTGCGCCGCATTTCGAGTTGATTGTGATTTATAAAAGGGAAACTGGCGTAGGATGTGCCGTACGCAAGTCCTGCGCCGGTACGCAGTCTTTTATGAATCGGAACATGTCTGTGCGTATTTATTTGCTTTGTCCTATATAAGCAACCTTCCCACGTCGATCCTACGCAAGGCTTTATAAATGAGGCCCCTGGTCCTTCCACACGAGACCGCTCGACCCGCTGGAGACGCTGTAGTACATATGCCGAGCCTGTAAGTGGAGCTGTATTTCTGCCACAAAATACACCAAAAGCAGCGAAGAAGACTTCCCGCGCATGGTTGCCCTTCTGTTTATTCTCCGCGGTGGACGCTCTGGCTCTTTTTCTCCCTCCCCGAGGCAAGCGTGTGCTCCTGCTGTAAATCTCTCCGGTAGTCCACCAGCAGATGAAAAACACCCACCTCTCCGCCTCTTCCAAGGGACGAGGGAACCGTGCGGCAGTTTCCGTTAGATTTTTTTTACGCCGGTCAACATGTCCGTTAAAGTTTCAATCTTCAGGACAAAATTTGAAAAGTGCCGGTCAAAGGTCTGTTATTTATTGAGCTTTAAAACAAATTGATAACGACTCTATATAATAATATAAGAATAATAAATGGAGCCTCTCTTTTCCTCCCCCTCTTCTGACAGCCCAGCAGCTGATCTCTGAACAGGAGAGGTGGGGAGAGGCGGGGCTATTGCTTCATCGTTATCAGAAAATGATTGTGTAGGCCAGGGTGTAGACCCGTTATCGTTATCTGCGTTTCCCTGTCGGCCTTGTGTGGCCAAACCTATATGATAGAGAACTGTAGCGGATACGACCGTTACCGTTCTCGTGTGGCTGCAGCCTTAAACTGGGCCATGCTGCATAATGAGATCTTTCACTTTAGGTATTTAAAGTATATTTTGACCTGCTCATACTTTTATACTTTTAATTAAGTACAATTTTAAATGCAGTACTTTTACTTGTAACTGTGTAGTTTTACACTGTTATATTGCTACTGTTACTTAAGTCAATAATCTGAGTGCTTTTTCATCTCCGTTTGTGTGTTATGAGGTGAAGAGGGGAACTTGGAATCATCTCTTCTGTACATAATGGAAGAAAATATTTTGGACGATATTAAAAACAAGACAACCATAACTGTAACACACATGCATGTTTATTGCACATCAAACAAGCAAGAAGGTGATGACTGAACATCTGGACATCTCATAGAGCCAAACCTCTCCCCCTCCCCAGGCAAATAATGACACACTACACTAAATGGTAAACATGAGAGCTACAGGAAAGACAGCCCATAGAAAACAACTGAAATATCAGCTAGAAACCCCGAACACACACACACACACACACACACACACACACACACACACACACACACACACACACACACACACACACACACACACACACACACACACACACACACACACACACCACACACACACACACACACACACACACACACACACACACACACACACAACACACACACACACACACACACACACACACACACACACACACACACACACACACACACACACACACACACACACACACACACTAAATCGGGTGTTATATATTATCAATTTGCATGGCGTGTTCTCCAGCCCCTGTCCGGTAGTCTGTTTGTGGAGAATATTCAACAGTGACAATAACTTGAACTCTTGAGTTCTAAAGCTTCACATGGACATCTAGTGGGAGGAGGCTGCTCATTGTCATCAATGTTTGGAAACTCCATCAGTTTATGAAAACTGCTAAATAATTTTTTACTTACTTAAAATACTGATGTAAGGCTTTGAGGTAACTACTATATCCAAGGTCAAAAAAACAGAAACGCTTAAACATCCAATAAGTTATTAAACAGACCAAATGTCTAAAAGCATTGCAGCAATGTTCATTCCACTCAAAAAACAAATACAGCAAACCTAAAACAATATAAATGTTTTCCTGAGGGCGGTGCTTAAAGGTGGGGTAGGTAAGTTTGAGAAACCGGCTCGAGATACACTTTTTGTTATATTCCATGGAATGCTCTTAACATCCCGATAGCAATGAATATCTTAAGTGCTTTGACAAAAAAATCCATAAAAAAATATCATCTGTGGAAGCCGTAGTACTGTAAAAAGCACGACCAATCATTTTAGCCGGCCCGGCTAAAATAACTGGATGGCCTACCTGCCTGTCAGCCTTCCATCTGTGCACAAACTTATCTCGTGCCCTCATTGGTCATGTGTGCGTTCGTGTGTGTTGGAGGAGGGGCTCTGTAAGGAAGTGGCAGATTTTTTCCGGCTGTGTATTTTCAAATTCTTGCGCACTCGAGCTGGTTTCTCCAAAATTACCTACCCCATCTTTAAGGCTGGAGCCACACGAGGACGATAACGCAAACGGACCGAAATCGATATCAAAAAAGTCTTCCGTCCACACGCAATAGGCACCAGAAACGTGTCCGTTCACACGAGACCGCTCGAAAGCGCTGGAGACGCTGTAGTACATATGCCGGTAGTCCACCAACAGATGAAAAACACCCATTTATCCGCCTCTTCCAAGGGACGAGGGAACCGTGCGGCAGAGTTTCAGTTAGATTTTTTTTCGCCGGTCAACATGTCCGTTAAAGTTGAAATCTTCCGGACAAAATTTGAAAAGTGCCGGTCAAAGGTCTTCTTTGTTATTTATTGAGCTTTAAAACAAATTGATAACGACTCTATATAATAATATAATAATAAAAAACGGAGCCTCTCTTTTCCTCCCCCTCTTCTGAGAGCCCAGCTGATCTCTGAACAGGAGAGGTGGGAGAGGCGGGGCTATTGCTTCAACGTTATCAGGAAATGATCGTATAGGCGTAAACAGGGAGCCGTTTGCCCCCCCAGAGCGTTTCGTTTGCAGATCTACCTACCCACCTTGGGACCCGTTATCGTTATCGTTTTATGCGTTTCCATGTCGGCCTCGTGTGGCCGAACCGTCTATATCAGGGGCGGGCAAACGTTTTGGCTCGGGGGCCACTATGAGTTTTAAAATTTAACAGACGGGCCGGGCCAGTAAGCAGATCGGTGAAAAAATATTTAGCTGTCCACTCCTCATTAAACACTCGGCACTCAATGTCGACTTTTCTTTTCTTTGGTCCACTCATTGTTACAGATGCAGGTTCAAAGGTGAATTAGGTTCAAAGGTGAGTTATTGCGTCATTGCGTTATTGTTTGCGTCATGACGTAACCGTTTACGTGCCTTCTTATGACAACACGCCGTTTTACGTCGCTGATTTTCTCCGCAACACCGCTCACGACAACATCAATAGACGACTGCGTCGGGTCGTTTTTAATCATACGAAGCCAGATTAAATTAAAGAACTACTTCTCCAACCTTATACCTTTCTCCTGAGAGCTGTGGTGCATTGTTTATTAATGTGGTTCAGCGGGATTACCGCCCGCTGCAGTGCTGCTCGTTTATTCTACTGTTAACTCACGGCAGCGGCCGCTGTAAAGTTTTCACTGTCTAACTGTCACACAAGCAGCTGATAAATATCCCCCATCCCCATAAGTGAATGTGTTTTAGTCTGAAAGCTGTTCGGCATCACAACGCTGTTATGAAAGTTTCTCTGGCATTCTACAGGTGATGTTAGCATAGCAACCGAAGCTAATCTCGACTACTTGTTGCTATCATATTGTGGCATCAACCGTTTTCTACACAAAATAAACAGAATCACACTCAGCCTGGTTAGTGTTGCCTGACTTTATATAAGTGTTTTTTATAAGTGTGTGGTCGCGTTCTAATCCCTTTTCTCAGCGCTACTGCTTGTTACAATTTGTATTCGCTGTACTACTAACCGTGAACTGTTATTGCTCAGGTTAATCTTGACCCCCTCCAATTTAAGCGTGACGTATTTGGTGGGTTGCCGACTCCAGCAAAGGTAATTTGTGTCTAGAGTGCGCCATCTAGTGGTATCAACTGAAATGCCTGGTATTGCAGGAAAAAGGCTAAATGAATGCGGTTTTTACTATAATTTGGACAATTTTGTACCAATATTCGGCGGGCCGGATTAAAAAGCCCAACGGACCGTATATGGCCCGCGGGCCTTAGTTTGCCCATGCCTGGTCTATATGATAGAGAACTGTAGCGGATATGACCGTTATCGTCCTCGTGTGGCTGGGGCCTAAGAGAGTGTCAAAATACAAGGGCATTATTCACATCAAATTAAAGATGGATATTTTTGGACTGATGATGATCTGTAGAGGAAAGGTCAAGGGTTCACAAAAACATTCTGCATCATCTTCTGGGAACCAGTGATCTCTGATCCACTACATCAACATGGCATGTTGTGATTTATTTTTAAAGCCTAACAACATTACACAGAGCTATGACTCACACGTACTGCACTGAGGGAACCAGTCACATGACTCGATCATCCTAGTTACACATATTCATGCAATCCTCCATTATCTCATTAAGTCATTTTTTTTACTTTGAAGAATTGGACTTGTTCTCATGAACATCATCATTATATCACTCTGTTAAATTATGTGAAACTTTCTTACCCCACATTTTGGAAGGATGTTGCGTAAATGACAAATTTACCACACACCAAAATCAACCTCAGACCCAAATCAAAAATTGGAATGATCTTTTGATGGATTACGTAATGTCTTTGTTTGAATCCCTCACAAATTCTTTGTTGTAAAAACATAATGTTTCCGTTTCCACACAAAATCAACCAAACTTCACTGTCAACAAAATTATCGAGTGTGGTGGTTTGATTGTGGCTTCATTGCACACTTATTACTGCAATAGAGTGGTGCAGTGACGCGTCCTAAAACCCGGGAGTGAGCTGCGCATGGGTTCCCTCGACAAAAAAGCAATGGGATTTCTCCATAGGATTTTCTAAAATAGCTCGAAATAAGATCTGTGGAAAACGAACCTGTTAGATAAATGCACGTTTTGTTCAGCCGGATAATATCCACATGTCTACCCTACTTTTATAATTTTCAAATCATAAATCTAATCGATAGATTTATGATAGATAGATTTATGATTCGAAAATTATTCAACATTACATTGCTTTTTTGTCGAGGGAACCCATGCGCAGCTTAATTCCGGGTTTTAGGACGCGTCACTGCCCCACTCTATAAGAGGAACTGTGTAATGACATGCCTGGCCTCAGCAAACAAAGCTGTTGCTCACAGTTACAAGCCTTTGATGAAAACAGTCATCTGCTAGATGGAAACCTTTTCACAGACATATTGCATACGTGTTTTAAATATCCACAGATCAACATACCACTAATGTACAAAATGACAAGTAAGTGTGTGTGTGTGCGTGTGCGTGTGCGTGTGTGTGCGTGTGCGTGTGTGTGTGTGTGTGTGTGTGTGTGTGTATGCATGTTTCCTGTTGTCTGGTCCATTAGCTCAGCAGTTCAAGGTAGGTGACAGGGACTTTGCCCTTTTGGTTCCCTCGTTCTCCAATCAACCAATCAGGGTCCATTCCTGGTACAGTGTACACGGTGATGAGCTGGAGAGACAGAGGAGGATAGGTCAAGACACAATTGGCTAAAGATGTTTAACATTGAACTAATCATTAGCAAGTCCTTTTCAAAGAGAAATCGGATTCACGCAGACCTCTGCATTGATTGATTTCATGAGTTTGCTTCACAAGGACCAAGGTATGTGGAGGATTCAAGTTTTGGGGGAATTTGATCTTTGACATTTGGTTTCCTGCACCACGAGGAGATAAAGCAAAAGGTATGCGTTTTGCCTTCTATTCATTTCACACGGATTGATTCTCATCTCCACCCCAGGAAATAGTATGGTCGGATCACAAGCAACACTTCATTGTTATCAACTCCATTTGTTGTCTGCTACTCGAGGCCAACCATTCAACTTCCCCGACACGCTGCCTCTGCTATTATCTTACAGGTTCTTGAACAAAAAATTATATAAACAATCAATGTTCATAAGAATTGGAGGTCACTTGAAACATGCCAGAGGCAAACAAGGCAGAATCACTTTACACGTAAATCTTTCACAATAAAAGCCTTGTTATGAAATACAATGATTCGGGTTAAAAATAAAGGCATGGTATGCTTTGAAGATGAGATAACAAGACTGCAAGAGGAAAAACATTACAGACGGAAACACTTTTCAATTTGGAAGAGCCACAGATAGTGGATTAACTTCCTGTTACTCAGTAACCAGTAAGCTATTTATAAGGAAACACATTCTTAGTAATTAAGTAAGTAAGTAAAGTTTTCACAGACAAAGCGCTTGACAAAACAATAAGACATCAACATAGTACAGGAGGCGTACAATGATCAATGAACACACAAGCCACATGTTAAGAAGTCATAAAAGCACCAGAACATAATTAAGACGCAATAAAAACACAATAAAACAAAAGTTACAAACAAAATTAAAACAAACAAACAAAATAAAAACATAGTATAAAATGGAATAAAATCAAGCACACCGGTTAGCCAAACAGAGTCCGCAGACCGTAGATGAGCGGGCAGAGCATTCCATAGTTTAGGAGCCACAGCTGCGAACGCTCGATCACCGCGGGTCTTAAGGTGGGTACGTGGGACAGACAGTACATTTTGCATGTGAGACCTGAGTGGGCGGGCTGATGTATAAGGATGTATTAAGTCGGCCACATAAGCAGGAGTCTGACCGTGCAAAGCTCTGTAGGTGAGAGTGAGGATTTTGAACTTAATCCTATAAGCTACAGGGAGCCGGTGAAGTGATCTGAGTATTGGGGTAATGTGGGCCGTTTGTTTGACCGGGAGAGAAGTCTTGCAGCTGCATTCTGGACTGCCTGCAGACGACCAAGGGCAGACATGCTGAGAGAGGAGAACAATGCGTTGCAGTAGTCAATGCGAGATGAAATAAATGCATGGATAATCATTTCTAGGTCGGGTGTAGAAACTACAGATCTCAGTTTGCTAATATTTCGTAGGTGGAAGAAACATGATCTCGTCAGTTGCTTAACATGGGTATCAAACGATGCGGATTGGTCAAATATTACCCCTAAGTTGCGTAGTTTGGAGTTGGCAGCAGAGGAATATGGTCCAATACTTTTCAGAATCAAGGGCGTAATCATTTCTGGTACAACAACCAGAACCTCCGTCTTATCAGCATTGAGTTGTAAGTTATCTGCCGTCCAGTCCTTAATAGCGCTAAGACATTCTAAGAGTCTAGATATCCTAAAAGCCTCACTAGGTTTGAATGAAATGTGGAGCTGGATATCGTCCGCGTATAAGTAATATGTAATGTTAAAACTGTTTATGATCTGTCCTAAGGGTAGCAAATATAGGGAGAATAACAGAGGCCCCAAGAGCGAGCCCTGCGGGACACCACAGGACAGTGGAGAGGAGTCTGACACAAAAGGCGCATTCACACCGCAGTACTTTTCCCACTTTAGTTCCGATATAGTTTCGAAATGTTGCGTTCACACCAAAAAGAGCCGGAACTAAAATTAGTTAATCAGAACCTTTTTACCCCCTTTTCCGTCCCTGCTAGAGAGCAGGTACTTTCGTGGGAGAAAAAGGTTCCTATGTCTGATTGGCTGGGCGGAATGCAAACCACGCCCCGTAAAACTCCCAAAAAGTTTTGTGAAGCCGCCATTTTATTATCCTCGCATTAGCATTATTAGCATTAGCATTAGCCCAGCGCAGAAACGCAGAGAGACTAACTTATGGCAACACAAAAGAAAACATGGGAGCGGTGGAGGAGGTGTCGGCGTTCTGGCGATTTACTCGGAAGGCTTCAGTAGAAGCTGCTGGGAGTCCCAGCAGCTTCTACTGAAGCCAGTCCCCAACTCCGGGGACTTCCGGCCGGGGACTTTGGGCGGCAGTATACGCCGTGAAGTTGTTTGCGGCCTGCCAGTAAACCCAAAGCAGAAGAAGAAGAAGTGATGTCAGCGGCTTCATTTGCCTAATCCTCCCCCAGGGACTTATTCCGGTGTGAACGCGATCTGTACTAAGTTCATGAGGACTAAAGAGTCCTGATGAACTAAGTTCTGATGAACCTTTGTGGGAAAAGTACTGCGGTGTGAAAGGGCCTAAAGTCTCCAATCGAGACGGTGAAACTTCTGTCAGCAAGGTACGACCAGTCTAGTGCTATGCCAGATATGCCCACCCAGTCACGTAACCTCTTGATCAGGATATGGTGGTCTACAGTGTCAAAAGCAGAACTTAGGTCAAGAAGTACTAACAGGTGTATTTTTATCTATGTATGTTCTACTATAAACAAGTCCATAAAGTACATTTTCAAACTAGTACAGTACAGAAAATATAATATTAATTTATTTGAGGTCCTTTTTTAAGAGTTTTTTAAGATTTTAAGAGTTAAAGAGGATTAAGGTACCTGATTGGCTGTTATCAAACTACATGCCACTGCAACCGAAGCACTCCCTGTCTAATCCCTTGTTCCATGTCTGTCTCTCACCTGTACACCTTAAAGGTCCCATGTCATGGCCATTTCAACTGATCATAATTCCATTGTTGAGCTATACTAAAATAGATTTATACTGTGCAATTTTCCAAACTCACATTGGTTTCTCATACAGCATCTCTGTAAAGTATGTGTATTCACCGGTATTCACTCTCTGTCCTAAACGGCTTGTTGGAGCTCCTGCCCCCCCTCCCTGTGAGCCCAGTGTGCTCTGGTTGGTTGGGACGTTGAGAGGCTCGTTGCTGCGATCTGCTGCGAGGAGCGGAAGCCTGTCCGCTCCTCGCAGCAGATCGCAGGAACGAGCCTCTCAGCGATACAGCGAGAACAAGCGAAACTCATCCTGAGCACACACAAACACTCACAGCCGAAGTAAAAACAATAAGTGTGGCTTGATATTGAGTAAGAAAAAGGTTTATAACGCAGAGAGAATGGGTCTGCGGAGAGCATTTCTCGTAAAAACCATTTACCCATTTAAACAATCGTGGTAGATACCTTGTTTGTTTTAAACATCATAAATACACAAACAACAATGAATACTTACAGGTTGTGTACCCGAATCTCCCGCTGGTCCAAACAAAGTAGGAACAGCATCGTTCTTCAGTGCCCTACGCTGTACATATCCGGCATGAATCGCTGAAAGGTTTGTGAAGCTTTGTTTCGTGAAAGGCTGGCAGAGGGTGTGGCCTCTGGGTATTCACACGTCAGAGTACCCAGGAAGAAAATGAGAAATCTCCAACGAGGCGTTTTGGGGAGGTCTTTTCTGTGTTAGAGTTTTACTCGCTACAGGGTGTACTTTGAGGGTTTTTGACTCTGCAGACCGTTTACATGCATAAAAACCTTCATAACACACAAGGGGACGGGTAATAACCGGAAAAGCATGACATGGGACCTTTAAAAGAGTACTCCATCGATTAGGCATTGCACTAATTGTCCAACTATAGAAATATTCAAAAATGAAGACGGCAGAACCAGCGACATCATCCATCTTAATCCAAGTAATCTTCCTTGTCACAACCTGAAAACTACGTTACCTACAATGCAACAAAACTGTGTGCTGTGATGCTGGGCGCGAGGGGTGCAGGGATGACGTGTTTCTGTAGGCCTATTTCTGTTAGCATCACAAGGGCTCCCTCATTGAATATTAGAATATTGCAGCAAAATAAATCTGTTGCAAATACCAGTTATTATACTTACACATTTTGATCAGCAGGATACTCTCCTTTATGATTTTTTAGCTAAATGCAATTGGCAGAAGTAAAACACTAATGTTATGCTGTAAACAAACTACATCACGGACACATGACTTCACGTCACCACCGCCAAGCTTAAGGCTGTGGGATGACGTTAAGTTGTCTCATTTAGAGAGTTGATAGCAAACGCTGTTTTTATGACACATTGCTTTACATATTCAAGAGTGGGGCATCTGTTGTCTTTTATGTGGTAGAACTACATGTGAAAATCTCTCCAGCATGTGTTAACCATAGACCTTATTCCAGGCCTCTAACCAAAATGCTTACTAATTTCAGGGTTATAGGATTCATTCCTGCACCACTCTATGCAGCGTGAAGAAAAGAGGAGCGTCTGGCTTCAGAACTACTTTCCACAGGTCCAGAAATGTTTCCCTTCAAACATGTAGTCTTCTGCTCAAACCAACGCTGCCTCGGGTGAGTTTACTTCACACCCCTCCCTCTGGAGACACTAAAGGGAATCAAACAAGTTAACATCCCCAACATCTAGAAACCCACTTTGCCGTGTAACATCGGTAGAGTTCCCCTTTAAATGTCATTTACATGAAGGTCCTATAAAGATGTTTTCACTGAACTAGAGCTCAGCGCTGTGTGTGTTCCTGTGAACATACTGAAACCCAAACCAGAACAGTTTGAATTGGATGCTAATGTTTGCCACTCAATTTCATTTCCAGCTTTTTTGCTAAGAAAAATAAATAGAAACCTTGTACCTACAGTGGTATAAAAAGTGGCTCACAACAACATTTCTGGCTTGCCATGGCTGTACTGTCTGCCAACACTTCCAAAAGATTATATCAATGTTTTTCATGCATCCTTAGGAGACAGTGATTCAACGTTAACGTCTAGACCAGGGGTGTCAAACTCATTGTTGTTCGGGGCCACATTCAGCCAAATTTGAGTTGTGGGCTGGACCAGTAAAATCATAGCATAATAACCTAGGAATAAAACCAGGTCCAAATTGTTCCCTTTGTTTTGGTGCAAATATTCTGAACATCTTCACATTTAATGAACTCTCTTTTTACAAAACATTTTGAACAACCTGCAATTTCTTAGGAAAAATAAGTGCAATTCTGACAGTTTTGTTCCTCAGTTTATCATTTACACATTGCATTACGACAGATCACAGTGAATCCACAAAGGCATAACACATCGAGTCCCCGGTATCTGGAACTGAACAATATTGTATTTTACTTTATGATCAAAACTACTTTTCAAGATCTAGAAATGATTTGACATTCATTTCCACATGTGTGCACTAATCCTGACCTCCAGCATACAGACTAGAGTGGGAACTATTTTCTTACTTTGGAATATCTTAGCTTGATTTCACTTACTCAGCCTACTGAAGATGATATAAACTAAACTTGAAAACAATAAGCCTTTTTCTCAGTATACATACTGTGGATTTGCTCCTGCATCGTTTACATTGAAGTTGCCTTAAGAGATCACTTTAGATACTCATTCCAAGTGAATTACTACAGATATCAATCATTCTTGCAATGTGCATATCGGCATGTGTTAATGGCACCGTTCATGTACCAGTCACATAGCTTACTAACTTAAATTCCAATATCTGCTTCCTGTTTATGAGTTGGCCAGACATTGTTCCGTGTGCAGAGATGTGAATGTGTGAGGTGAGTCACACTCAGAATTCCACTGTACCTCATCAGCAAGAAGTGAAAGCTCGCTGGAATCATGGGCGTCGTAGTCATACAGGACCTTGGCCTTCCTGGTGCCTGTGACTGGGAGCTGTGTCTGCTCCATGGCCAGCGTGCTGGGCCTCTGGCTAGACGAAGAGGAAACTGTGGCCCCTGGAGATGATGGTCCAGACAGGAATGCCGAAGAGACAGGGTCAGGGCAGACGGCAGCAGGAGGCTGGGGGACGCTGGCAGCATTAGCACATCTGCATGAACATTAGAAGAAATAAACAAGAGCTGAGTTGTTGTAGTGGACTCCCAGGTTGTTTATTTGAGGCTGTCAATGCTATGTGTGAAGTACAGAGAGCAGCCACATACTCAGGGCTGGGAGGGACACTTTGGAAATGTAATCTGTTACAAGTCAAAACATTTAATCAGGATCCTAATCTGAGTATCAAAATATAAAAGTAATGTAAGCTGATTACTTGCCGTTACTTTTGGTCAAATATCAAATGCAATGAAAATAACTCAAAGAGAAAATAAATAACAATAAGATGTTTTTTACTTTTTTGTTTACATGTAATGATGAAACCTTAGAAAAGAAGAAACCAAGATATTTCATTTAAAAAATGTAGAAACAGTAATAGTTCACAAATGCTGTTAAAGCTTAATACATTAATCAAAAGCCTAGACTGTAATTGAAATAAACAATAACAAAATAAATGTATCAAAAATAAAGAAGAATTAAAGTAGCCTTAATATAATCCATAAAGAAAATGTATCTACCTATAATATATCGATCTTTATTTCAAAATGCTGCTAGTAATTTAAACGTAACGGTAATCTGATTACTTATCGCATGTCTTTTTAACCGAATACAGTTACCTCTTTTGTGTATCCTGATTACGTGCTCTGTTACATGAGGATGTATGTCTCTTGACTTGGCTGTGGTGCTGCTGTGGTGCAGCTGTGGTGCAGCTGTGGTGCTGCTGTGGTGCAGCTGTGGTGCTGCTGTGGTGCAAAAACAACAGCTGTCGCCCGCTCAACTCAAAAACTGATTTCGAAGCTTGATTCTGGTATTTAGATTTATTTAACTTTAATGTATTGTATAATTAGTAAAGTATTTTTCCCATCAGCTCCTTTATTACAGAAACTTAAACTTCTTACAATTAATGATACTCCTAAATAAAGCTATTCTATTGTTGTTAAAAACAAATCAATTCACTGATTGACTCGATTGAGTTTTTTTATCATTAGCCCTTTGGAGGTAGACAGTTTGAGTCAACACAGATTTACATTTCACTACAGTCTGTCCATTCTATAAACCTACAGACTCTCTAAATGAACACCACTGCTTAATTAAGACGGTTTGTTTGCTGATCAGGTGTCAAAAAGATTCCTGCGTCAAGACATTAGTTTAGGGAGTGAAAAAGACCATTTAAGTCTACGAGTGTGGTAAATCAGTTTTGCGTCAGTAGGGAGTTGTGTTAGAACCACAGGCATGCAGCCACCAACACCAGTGAAGAGGACTTTTCCATTTTCCTTCCAGTCTACCGACCTCAGGATCAGTGTTTTTCAGAGTGAATAGAGTAACAGTGATTTCTATTAATCATGATTCATGAATGTTTAAAGGTCACCTATCATGCTATTTTTAGGCAATAGCATAGGTCTTAGATATATACATATATAAAAACATGTCTATGAAGTGTTTTGCTCAAAATACCAAACAGATCACCCATTCTAGCCATGCCTCATATCCCTCCGTTTCAGCCCTGTAACTACTGTAAAGTGCTGATTCGGGGTATAAAGCTTCTTTTTTTTTAAAGAAAAGAGAGGGGGCGGAGCTTATGCCTGCTCATGCGGGAGCGGCAGATACCGTCTAAATGCTGCGGTGATGAAACGCCATATCATGTTCAAAACCACATCAAGGATTATTTCTGAAACAGTATGGAGTTCAAATGCTTTTTCTCTTGCGGGTTTACCACAAGGTGAGTTCCTTTTTTTATTTCCTGCTTTTTTTACACATACTCTCTCCAGTACAGGTTAGCTCTGAGTGTTAGCGATGCTTGCTAGTGTAAACACAGATCATATTACTTCCAAAACACGTCAGGCATTGTTTCTGATAGCAACTTTCTGGTAGGGCCGTGGGTCCACCATCCGATATGACATACGTTATACGCAAATCTGGATCAGCTCCGTTGTTCCCCCGTTTTTAGAGATTTGGGTACGGAGGAAAAGAGAGAGGGTTTTATTCTCTGACACTTTGTGAGTTCCCTGACACAAAGGGGACACATATTTATGTATAAAAGACATCACAAAGTGCATTTTGCATGATAGGTCCCCTTTAAAGGTAAATGAGAAGATTTAAAGTAGACTAGTTTATATAGTATATGTCATATTTTATTATATTTGACTTTACTCAGTTTAACAGATACATATATTTTGTGTAAATATTATCTTTATTTATTTGTTAGAATAGTCTTAAAATAGTTGTTGTAGCTGTTATAACAGTAATATTCTTTTTTTATTTTGCTACGAAATCTTCTTTCTGTTTCTTTGTATGCACCACAAATAACAAAGCAAATTCCTCTTATGTGTAAACCTACTTGGTAATAAAACTATTTCTGATTCTGATATTTTAGCAATTTTTGTTTGTATTTATATAAAATATATTAAGATTGCATAGATATTGCATTCAATATTAACCCATTAGGAAAGACACAATACAAGCATTTTCTGTGATGATGGTCATTATTTGTCATTATCCAGTAAAACAGTTGAATTTGCTTTGCGGTGTTCAACAAGGTAGTCACTTTATTTTCAACTGTTTTTTAAAAACGATTAAATATATTGTGTAAAAAAAGCTGACGTTATGTATGCCTAATGTTGTTCTGTGGTTCACCAACATTATAGAGCTGAGAAAACCCCACTACCACTGCCTCACCACTCAGTTTGTCCTTAGTTTCAAGTCAGCAGTAGTTCAAAACTTTTAATCCCTATCTGATCGGGTCAGATTTGGATTTTGGGTAGTTCAAAACAAAAAAACAGGATTAGGATCACTTTGATATCCGATCAGATCAGGAAATCCAATCAAATCTTCAAAACGGGTAGTTCAAACCGACAACACAGGATTGGGATCAGTTTGATCCCAAAAAACTGGATTATCTTGATCCCACCAGAGGGGTGGATCTCCAGTGGATTACCAGAGCTAAATGTACTGTACAATTTATTTAAAAATATGTTTCAATATAAATAAGATGGCAAAGTTTGTTAACTGAAATAATACACCATTTTTAGCCTTCATGGGAAATACATTTTATTTTTCATTTTTGCTCACGTTTGTGGTGGCCTATTTTGTTTTCAACCAAATATTGATGACATAAATATTTATGCTCATAAAAGTATCACTACCTTCAGCCAGGCCTGATGACACACTGCAAGAGCCACCTCGAAAGAGAAAATGCAAGCGCACCAGACAACCAGAGCAGAGGGATGATGCCTACGAGACACTGCTGAGCCGTGACACGGAGAGGGCAGAGATTCAGATCCGTCTGGCCAAAGAACAAATACAGCTGTGCCGGCTTCAGCAAACTGAAACCTCACTTAGAATTCAGCTCCTCAAAGCACGCCTGGATGATCCAGCTGCCTTTGAATGAATGCTTTTTTGTTGTTACCCTAGAGGGAGTATTTGTTTTAATTACAATTCCATTAGGATTTTATGTCCTTTATGTATTTAACAATATAATTAGACATTATAGATGTCTCTGCAATGTGGTCTCTTGTCTTCCTTGTATTATTTTTCATATCCACTGGATGGAGATCGGTAGGATTAAAGCACTGATATTCAGGATCTAGTCATCTTGAGAAGTCTGAACCTGGATCAGGGTGATCCTATCCTGAATTGCTTTGAAATACTGGGACAAAATCTGTCCGAGTTGTCTGATCCTGGATCACAAAAAATGGGATTTCAAAATCTGATTGAGATTAAAAGATTTGAACTACTGGGCCCTGGAGACAAAGATTAAATGACTGGATTATACATTTGAGAAAAACCGTCTTGGTTTGATCATGTTGAGATTTTCACCAAAATGTTCAACATGTTTCATCTTCTTTCATGAGGGACACTGGTCAAGTGCTGCTGAGAAACATGCAATAGGATAAATAAATTACTATGCAAAAATTCATTTTGAATAATTTATCACATTTCCTCTGTGAAAAAACTGGTTTTAAACTGTTCTTTCTTAGCACTGGTGGTTCCCACGCACACATTTTCTTTTACATTTTAAATGAGATATTCTTACTCTCACCGTTAAAATAAACCTACCAATAAAAATAGACCGGTCATTTCTTTGTAAGTGGGTAGACTTTAGTGATGGGAATTATGGCTCTTTGAAGGGAGCCGGATCTTATGGCTCCGTTCCTTTCAAAGAGCCGTTCAAAAGAGCCGTTTTTTTAAGGTTACTAGGTTTATCTGCAAAATAATCACCAGGATAATGATTGACTGTTGTTACGTGCCAGGCAGGCTGTACTTGTGTGGTTCTCCTTCCCTCCTGCTTTTCTCTCTTCTCCCTGTCTTCTGCACAGCTAATCAGCAGCTGATCAGGACCTGCCTGTGCACCAGAGTCTGATGGCTGATTGGATCCTCTCACCCTAAGCTGGCCTATCAGCAGCCAGGGCCGACCATAAAGGAGGCACCCAGGAAGTCTTCTCGCTCTCTCACTCTGGGTTGATTGCTGATGGAGGAGCATGCAATTGACTACCTTGTAACGACAATATTTCTCTTTGTTTTGTATGACCTATATTGAAAGTGTGTGTGTTGAGAGGTGGAGGAGTTAGGTAAGTCTGGGGTACCCTGTACACTTCTCATCACGTAGTTAACTAATGTTAAGACACACTAGGTTAGCGGATTGTTGCCACCCCTGTATTCTGTTTTGTCCAATTCTGAGTAGTTTAGGTAGTGAGGGTTTTTGTTTGAGTTTTGGTTTCAAAGGATAGACGTAGAGATAGGCCTGGTTTTGTTATGCTTGTTTCTTTTGTTTGGCACAATCCTTCGACTCCTCCTCCTCCTCACACAGAGTATTTCTGTTCAGTTTTCTAGGTTTACAAAAATAAACTTTTTGTCAAACCTTTACGCTGACACTCATATTATTGGTTGTTGTGTGTTAATGTCTCCAGGTCCCCTAGACCTTAGTGGGGACGTAACACAAATGGGGGCTCGTCCGGGATCTTTATTTTCCTGAGCTAAAGACAACCAATAATATTGAAG